CCCCGTGAGCGGTTTTAGTATACCAACTAAAAATCTATCCAGTTCATTCGACGGCGAGCCTATACCGTCCATTACTGGCCTTATCGGGACATCTGCCTTGTGGATTTTTGGCAGTCCGTAGAGTCGCGGTGATTGAAAATGGTTGCTATTTTTTTCGCTGCTCTGAGCAACTCGACTAACGACCATCAGTGCTACCTGGGCTACCAAGATTATCTCCCATAGAAAATGACTAAACTTATATCGGTATTTCGAATAACTCGATCATGACAAATTGCTTGCGCATGCGAGTTGTTGCGCAATCTTTTCATATGGAGCCAACCTGACACAAAATAAATTAAAGTAGAGTTTATGTTCGTTTGTTCCTGATGCAATGCAGTTTCCAATATTTAATTGTTTTTATATAGTAGCAACTATCTGCAATATAACTCAGCAATTGTTTGGTGGCAACCTACGAACCTTTTTTTAAATGATTGGTGTTATGTGAAAAATTTCAGCCCCTTTTCGTATATCACAGGAAGCCTTCCGGAAATACTACCAAGTATTATCCGGAATAATATGTGCCAAAAATTTACTCCTCGTTTTCACTGAACTTTCAAACATCAAACAGCAATTTCTGCTTAAAAATCTCACCCTTATTAGCATGGAGTATTTGATAAGAAATGAATTAATTTGCAAGCAATCTAGCTGCAGAGAATTTCTGGTGGTAAACTGATTTTTAGCTGTGCAACATAGCTAGACTTACTACAAAATATATCGTTCGTTTTGTTTCCTACTCCTTGGCTCGACGCGATTTCAAAAAAACTGCAAGCAGCCACAGTACTTAACAAGTTGGACGTTGTGAAGAAGCAATTTGAATTACTCTGTAATTCTCCAATTTTTGTGTTATCAACAATTTCCTGCTCCAGAGTGAACGCCTTGCAATGTCGATCATATCATAATAAACAGAGATGCAATCAGCCGAGAAGCTCTGAGTGCTTAGGATGCATCCGCACGCTGTGCACGCACATCTGCGGTAAATAATTCCGAAGTCCAATTTCTTCTTCAACGTTGTATCGCAGTTGGTTCATAGAACGAGCACCACAAATAGTCAGTTCTACTGATGTCCGACTGGCATAATAATGGCTCGCAATCTAAAGTGAATAAAACTTTTAAACTGAACGAATGAAAAGGTTGGGATCTAGCCATCGTTAGGACCTAAGTGATTTCAGCTGCTGAGCCTTCAATATTTACCTGTTATTTACGCATTATTCCTGACAAACTGCGCCCAATGAAGTACCAATCAAGAAAATTCATGAAAAAACATTTACAATCTTGGAGGGAGCATCTTCGTGCAGTAAACGTCGTGTTTGCCACAAACTGCCGAAGAAAAACAGCCTTGTGCCGTGGTCATCAAATGTCAACAAAGTGCGTCTAAGGAAGAGTGAAACAACGCATTGCCTATATTGTTTGGCTCCCTAGTTGGTCGAATGAAGCATTTTCAATTTCATTTCTGTGTAACCTTTCATCAAGCTTTGTGGAGCGTTTTTCCCGTGATGACAAAAATGCAAGAATATTAGCGTTCAGTAGAACTGATCTTAATACAGCTTGGTAGCTTAAAACACATCGTGGTCTTCGTCGGACGCATTTGGTGTTATTGTGAAGTTGCAGGACTGGATGTCCCGGGATGATATCTGTCAAAAAACCTCTCACATTCTGCATCTCGTCAGACCCAACGAAAAGCTCCTACCCTGAATGAATGTGCCTTAAATTTAATACCATGTGTGTAATATCGTGTCAATTATAATAACAACAATAATATTTGCATAAAACTTTCAACGGCATTTAGCCAATTTTTTGCCAATGCAATGACACATGTACACTCATAGGATTTCCCGTCAATGCCTTAAATGAGTTTTGGATGAGATTGTCAAGTTCCTTAATTAACCATCCTCGAGCGCACTTAGAAATGATGACATTATTCATCATAAACTTTATAGCTACAAAGCAGCTCTCGGTAGCCTATTGGTCCGGTACATTGGACACAGGAGCAGGCCGGCAGCCAAGAGCTCGGGGTCTTCCGCAACTACACAGATCTGGATAAATACATCAGTCTCTCCCAACACTTCCCCTAAGCAATCATTTGGAAACGTTCTTCCACTGGTTGAACACAATGCTGAATGTCAACTCCATGCCGCCCAAGCCAGTATTGTGCACATTTTCGAAATCTCTCTCTTCTGTGCAAAAAAATTTACTAATGGCATTCAGAAGGTTCGTCAGACAGTATTACAAGTAACCTCTTTTTACTGGTGCACAACTGTACAAAGTACAGGACGTCATCTTAACGCTTATGTTTTTTCACAAAGAAATGATGTTAGCGTATACACATTCGCTTATGCACAAGTGTGTATAACTACAAAACAAAGACCTTTTAATCATAAAGGCAAATGGTCTGACGAAAATTTTGGAAGAAGTTTGCGTGCTGAGTCCTTGTGCACCGGTACGATAATTTTAGCATATTCAAATCCTCCGGTCCATTTTATTTTTTCTTCCCGATAAATGCGCCTGAAAACATCTCTCTTGATGTCAGACCTTTTTATTTAGAACAATCCGTTTGCACATATGCGACACGGGATTCTAAAAAATGGGACTCAACCACCTGGAACAAAAGTTCTTTGTTTGAATGTTATTCTTTTGATCGGATAATAACAGCAAAAATGTATCATTAGATTGGCCTTAATCAAATGACTCCAGGCAAACTTCTGTCTATCGTCTTGTCAAATTTCTCGGTGTTTTAATTGTAAGCGCAAACATATCACGATTACAAAGGGCAAAATTAAGCACGCCACAATCACCCT